AAATTAAACGAGCCATAGTGAACCTGTTTTAATGCTCTAGATTTCGATGCTATGTCCTGAACTATTTTGTTTGATTCCACACTCTTGAAATGTTTGTTCTACATTGATTTATTATACTCTTAAGTGACATCTATTTACATGCAATAAGTGTTAATTATTTGCTGATTATTTTATATATATGTAATGTTTTAATTGGTACTCATGTAAATTTCTATTCATTCTTTCATCATTATGGCGATAGTAAATGTGAACATTCTTCTAGAAAAAATACGCTTATATGCTTAGTTATAGATTCGTGCAACTCTGATGTTGCCTTTATTTCTGATATATTTTAATTCTTTCTTTTACCAATGATTAGTACGCGGGATGTGAGTGTTCTTGAAGTGAAGACTAATACTCATATCAACACCTTAAAAAAACATTATTTTGTTATTTTTTTGTGATGCTGGGAAGTTTTTTCAGGAAACATTGTAGGATATGTGGCGATTCCTCATAGAGAACTTCATTAGCTATATAAACCATTAATTGGATTTGAATTCAAAACTTAGTATCGTAGAAAAAACTTACAAATGGGTGTATCTTATATTTTTGTCCAATACTTTATATCAAATGCAATACTTCGTTTGATTTTTAATTTTTCTTATGTATTAATTAATATTATGAGACAAATTAAGAATGCCTTTTAAGTTTTTTCTTCTAACAATTAAAATTGTAGGTTACTATAATAGATTTTTTGTTCTTTGAGTTCACTCATTCGTACAACTCATGCAGAAATGTTTAAATTAACCAAGTCAATTGTTTACTCTACGTCTCACTATTTCCGCTAGTAATGTTAAAAAACTCAACACCAAAAAAGTCTTCATCTTGTATTTATTGCGTGATTGCAAAAGTTTGTTGGTGATTGAAAAAATATCTAAACAATTTGAAGGACAAATGAAAAACAAAAAGGACGAAGAACCTAATGAAAACAAAGTCGATTTTAATGACTAACAATCACTATTTTTGTTACTCAAAAGATTTAATTCATGAATTGAAGAAAAGGTGAAAAAATTGTAAGAGCTCTTATACCTCACACTTAAACGAGCACAAAAAAGGATGAGGATGCATAAGAGATCAAATCGACCTACCAGAAATTGTTCTGACTGATTCCACTGAATCATATATCAAAAGAAAAAGCATGTTGAAACTAAGATTGTATCAGATTTTGAAGTCTAAAGGTGATTAACAAAATAATTCATTTTATCACGGTGGAGTCAATTTATAAATAAGCAGACAAGACAAAATACTACTGAACATATGAATTTAGTAGCATGTTGATGGGACTTCAATCTTATACATAAATCACTCATTGATTATTTTATTTACCGAGATATAAGTTCAATATACTGGTAGACACTGAAAGCATATCTACTGTATTCATCATCTACTCTTATCTTTTAACAAATATTTTCATTTAAAAATTGAAATGACCAACATTCTAGTATTGGTCATGTGACAGCCCTCTTAAAAAGCTACAAGATCATATATTTTCCAAAGTCAAAAAATTCGACAACTTAAAAAATTCCTAAACACACTTTTCGCCAGGCTCAATTTTGTGTTTCTTTATTAATATCTGGAAAATTTTAAATTGAGTCTAAAATAATATCATATCCTGAATCAGCATAAAGAATTGAATTGATTCATGCGTAATTCGAAGCATTACTGAGACTTTTGTTTTTTCTCGAAAAATTTATCCCTGGTTCCCTGCAGGAACTAGCAACAAAATAAACTCATTGAAAACCTTGCTCTTCTTTTCTAAATAACTTGTTATTCATAAATTGAGCCCATCGTAATAGAATGAATTACTTTATTGTCAAATTCTATATTTCAACATTTGATCAAAACCTCATGAAACTATTAACATAATCTTAATTTCAACATTTTTTTTTCCCTTGATATATGAATCAATGAAATTGGTCAAGGAAATAACTAATATACCAATTCGAATTCTGATACGCTCCCATTCTTCGTTAACGTAAAAAAATGTTTAGAAAATATCATTTAATTTGCACACTTGACCTGTATGAATGTTCTATTTCAAGAATAATGTCATGTTTTCTTTTGTTACATTGATTAAAGAAAACCTTTTAACTGAAGAGTTATTGTATGTTTAATTATATTTCCTACCGTTTATCTTAAGCATTTTTGTCGACTATAAATACATTTTTACTCGTTAGACAGGCTTTATATTCTTGTACATCAATATGAACTTTTCTGTATAACGAATACAATCAAATTTCCAAGTGTTCATTAGAATGATAAGAGACTGTATTTTGTTATTGATGTATTATTCAAGATAAATCTTATATATATATATGTATAAATATCTTCAGAACTATCATGGAATTACCCAAAAGACAAGCAAGGTAAGAATTCCGACAAAAAATAAAAATTATGATTTCTTGATTCTTTATGAAATCTCTCTCGTCAATGATTAAGCATAAAAATATCTATACTAACATCGAGTATTTCATAAACATCGTATTGCAAATTGTTCTCATAAAAACATCTTTCTAAAGAAGCGATTAAATATCATGTGGTGTTTTATCCAAATTTTCTTTTGCAAACGAGAGTTTTCAACTTACAGGAAAGTAAACATCTATTTTCAGACGAGCGAGAAACACATAATAATATATATCAGTAAGTATTGTTTTAGCCGAAAGGAGTCTGCCAGAGAAAAATTTCAAAAACATAACTCGAAAAATAGAAAATATATCATCTTTGTAAAATTCTTTTTCTTGCGATTAACCGTACCGTATGCAGGACAGAAATCAAACCGAATCGATCCCATCTTTAATTAATGTAGATGAAATAAAGATAGTGTAAGTGTAGAAGACAATCAACTTCAATATATGACAAGACACGGAATGTATTGACAGTCTCTGCACGAAGGTCTCAAGATTGGAGAGGTGTAGGTTCTTCATTAGTCTTTACTAACAAGTGGCCTATAAAAAAATGAAGGCCTCTATATTTTTTCAATATCTACTCTAATTTTCATGAATTCGGACTGAACTCTTTTACTTTTATCTCTGTGACATTCATTTGTATATGATTTTGTAGAGAATTAATCGCTGAATGTTTTGAAAAAGAAAGCCCAGTTCAAATCTATGAAAACTAGAGAAGATATTAAAAATATACAAAGACTCTCACTCGTTATGGATCACCCGTTATCTATCTCTTCGCTGCTCTAATTCATTTACGCAATGATCAACTAGAGAAAACTATTGTTTTAGAAAAAGAGGATTGATAGACAAGAAAATTAATTTAGTTTATTGAGGACATTTGAGATCTTTTCTTTGTATTTTTTGACTTTGAGAAAAGTTACTCTAAAATTTTTTCGTTCGAATAGGTTATTAGCATTGTTTCAGGCATAATAATCATGAACTTCAGACAGAAAGATAAATCTAATATTTGAAAAGATGCATTTGACGCTGAAAAAAATACATTAATTCATTATCTGCATCATTTCTAAGTTAAAGTTTGAAGTCATAATGAAAAATTCTTTTCATCTTCTTCTTCGTCTAAAACTGTCACGATTTTCAGGCAATGTACTCTAATAAAAAATATGCTCAATAATAAAACATAATGAAAAGATTTTTCTGAGCTTTTTTTGCTTGCTTAGGCATGAAAAAAACTCTAGATTTCTATGCTGAATGAAGAATTAATCAGCTTTTCTTTGACTTTACATTTCTTGTGAGATAAAATCCCAAACTGTCACTTTTATAAGAACACACACAAACAATCATAGATGACGTCAATAAATTATATGGCTGACATTTGTAATAATTTTGTCTTTTTTTTATATTTGGTGTTTTTACAAATATGTTTCTGCCTATCTGATATCGTTCGCACTTGATGAATGAACTAGCTAATAAGCGATATAATCAGAGATGTGTTTCTGCTGTCATCAAATAACTACAATAACAAGTATGCATTAGTATATATGGTCTAATTTTAAGATCATCAAAAACATCTAAATATGTAGTTAGTAAGTACAACTTTTGAATCACCTGTTATATGATAGAAGAAGGGAAAAGATCAATACATTTTATAACTTTTCATGTATGTTCACTTGATCCGACTTTTTACAAATACTATTCGATCAACTTCTAAACATGATGGCAAATCAACTATCAAAAATGGAAAATTTTTTCCACTAAATGAATGACAACATAAAAACGACGATCAAAATAAAAAGAAAAAGAAAATTTATGTATGCAGCATCGATAGGGATCCTTGGAGTTATATGAAAATGTGACAATGGGTGACAGCTTGTTTGAATGATAGTTAATAAAGTGACAAAATTTCAAAACGTTGTGTGTCAAATAGAATAAAAGTTTTCATATTCAAATAATTTATCTTTCTAAATAATTATTTTATGATTAGTATATGTCAAGTGAAATCAAGAAAGGAACAAAAGTTATTATGATTATTTTTATACGCCTGTCGAGGGAAAAAGAATGATCTGATGCTTTTATAATTATCTATCCGTCTCTCATGTTTTTTCCCTTGTTGTAAGTCTTGATTTCTTTTTTTTATCTGATTTGATTTCAAGTGAGATGCATGCTTGTGTTAACGGAAACAAAACGACTGTATACATAAAGAGAAAATTAATTACGTGTAGACCAGATAGATGAAATTATTAGATAGAGAAAATCACGCGACCTAATTGAAAATGAAAGCATACATCTAGCTTTTGTTAAATATTCCAATGATGATGAAAGTAAAGTAACGTAAATCAAAAGGAAATCCTATGGCTGATTGATTGTCATAACACATATGTAGGTTTATAATTAGTAAGTCTGATTTTTTTCATAATTACAGATAAATTCAGATTTTATTATTTTGTTTTTTTCAGTAGCAAGAAAAAGAAATCCTTTTTTTTTTCTTTTCATTCTACTATTTTAGATGAAACATATACAGAAGATTTGTTATTGACAACATATTATAATCGAATACCGATGGACAATATGACGACTGCCAATGATAGTAACACAATAGCAGAACCAATTGAATGGATTCCTGGTTTACAATTAGCAGCTTGTATTTTTTATAGTATAATACTCTTAGTTGGTGTTACCGGTAATATTTTAGTTATATTTATTGTGATGAAATATCGGCATATGCGCAATGCAACTAATCATCTTTTGACAAATTTATCTGTTGCCGATCTATTTCTTTTATTGTTTTGCACAGCTGACGGTTATCAACATTTGTACGGAAAAGATAAACATCGTTTGGGCAATTTTATGTGTATGTAAACATTAAAAATAAAATGTATAGTTCTTTTTAGAAAAAAAAAAAGTAAATTATATTTCTTTTAAGGTCGATTTAGTCCATTTGTTCAAAATGTAACAGCGACATGTTCTGTTCTAACAATTATGGCAATTAGTTATGAACGATATGTTGCGATTTGTCAACCATTAAAAGTAAGTGAATGATTTTAAAAAAATATATAATTAAAGAAAATATTGTCTTACAGACCAATCCTCTTCGTTTAACTGTATTTCGAACATTACCAACAATTGTCTTCTTTTGGCTTGTTTCTTGTCTAATTTCAATTCCTTTTTTCACATTTACAAATACATATACAATGGAAGCAACCTATGATGAATTGATTGTTTCATGTAACATAAAAGTTCTTCTGTTTTATTTGTATTTGCTTCAATTTTCTGTTTTAAAAAAATGTTTATAGGCTTTACACAATTTTCTTTATCATGGGCAACTTGGTATCTTATACCATGTACATTGGTGATTTATTTAGTCATTTTAATGATGCTTTGCTATTGGCATTATTCTATTTGTTATATATTATTTAATCGTGAAGCTCTTTTACATGATAATACGATTGTAACACGATATCGACGACAAGTAGCACAATTACTTATTGCTGTAATAGTCTCATTTTTTATACTTATTTTACCACATAAAATTTGGGGTATAATACAATCACGATTAAGTGTCGAACAATTTCGTGAGTTTGGATTTCATCGTCATTCATTCGTTATTATTGTCACACGTTCTTTACTTTATCTTAATTCAGCTGTAAGTGTTTTATCGAAATCATAAAAGAAATTTTACGATTCTACGAGAGAGAAAAAAGTTGATGTAAAAAAACTAAATTTGTTTTTGCTTTCTTTTTCATGGTTAAACTTGGAGAAATTGTTTGTGTATATTTATTTTCAAAGCTTCTTTTAATACGAGGGAACGTTTTCAAGGTGCTTCTTCCGACTTCAATGAAAATTCTGAAAGAATTTGAGTTCCTCTCTTTTCCTACAAAAGTGAAGAAAATTTTTATACCGTCCGTATAGTGTATAGCATACAACATTAAATAACCTGTCAGTTAGTCAAAATGTAAACTATAAGCTAGGAAATTGTTTCTCCGGTATTGTTTAACATTTATCATATTGACATGAATTTTAGTCTTTTAGTTCTTTGCCTTGGCAAGGAATAGTCTTTCATAGAAAATCAGCTGCTACATATATATGATGATAGCCTCTATGATCAATTGAGAATACGCTATCACACAACAGCAATAGAGATAGAAAAGGAATTTCATACAAATCAAAGTGAACAGCGGATTACAATAATATATAGTAAAGGAAAGGAAAATACTTGTTGCAAAAAACATCCAAGAATATGTGTCACTGACTGAATTGAAACAAAAACGAAACATATGTGTCACATATGATAGAAGATTTCTCATGACAGAACCGATGGAGAATAACAATAAAACGGGAAAAGAAAATAACAAGTGTGTGTAGTCAGACTAGACAGTTATCAACCAATAATTCCACCTCGTAACAATATAAAAATTATTACTATAACCACAGATAGTCAACAATAGTGGAAATTAATCTTTTTTACTTAAAGCAATGTATGTATGAATGACCTTCTTTCAGAAAATGAAATTCTACAACTTGACAAGGGAAAAAAGCTAAAAGATTGAAATTAATGTCAATATAATAGATGTCAAACAACATAAAAAAAACCATTTCCTGATCTATACTTTGTACTTTGATTGGCTGACAGACTTATTAAATATAGTATGTTTTGTACTATAGGGACCAAATCAAAATATCCATAATTTTTGAAGAGAGAAATGCAAATCCAAATCCTTTAAAATTTTTACTAGCGAACTGTGTTGTATAGATAGGCAAAAAAAATCAGTGAAATCGGAGGCATACTCTTAAGAACGTCCCGTCGTTAGCCAATGAAGCAAAAGAAAATCTACGCGAGATAAATTGCAGATGACTATGTTCCTCTTATGGACTTTGATTCTTTTTTTTTACTATTGGGTTGACAAGTACAGACTTTCTCTTGTTATTGTAATTAACATCAATGGTCTCGACATTTTGTTTTGAATCTATTAATTCATCATATAAATCACATTTTTAATTTTTGTATTTTTCTGGCCATTATATGGTCTGTAGTAGTATCGATCTACTAAATACATTTTCGGATCTAGAAATTGTCCTTAAACGTTAAAAAATACGAGAAGAAACCGAATTAATGAAAACTATATATCATTTCTCGCTGTTTTCTAAATCAATTTTTGAACAGAAAAATTGGAGCTTTCTTCCACAGACCCTTCGATTGGTTCAGTTGAAATTTTTTGTGTGACAAATAGGGTCAAATCAATATTTTTTTTCTTAGAATGATGTTCTGATGATTTTTTACAGATTTTACAAAATTTTCTCAAGACAAAAAACATTTTTTTTTTGACAGAACCTCCAATATTTTGATTTCTCTAAGCGAAAGAAACAATATTTTTCAAAGAAGAAAATATATACACACCAATCTTATCCTCTTTGATACAAAAATAGATTCAATCATAAAAAATGAATTATTGCTGTTTATGGCAATAACTTCAAGTCATGGTTCGTCCTTGCGTCTCCTATATGTCATAGAATGAAGTATACCAGAATTTTGAGTCTATGACAACTTGTGCTTTGCTAGTCGATATCATCTACCCTGGAAGCTTCAGAATTTTTAGTCAAGTTGGTTTTGAGAAATTCTGGAAAGAGAGTTGAGTAACTAGTATTTCTCATTTTCCTCGTAAAATAAGCACCGAGATCAATGAAGCTTGTTCTGCGTTCTGATATATATCTATGCAACGTTGCGCAAATATCCCGTGAAGCGCATGTTGTGTCATCTCATAATTCGTTTGTGTTGAAAGAACGCTGAAGATACGATTTCGCGCTTTCGAAACATTTTCATCGACCAAGAAAAGAAAGAGACCTGAACAAGAAGGAGAAGTAGCCCCGTCTATCTCTGGCATGCACAATGATGTACTTATAAAAAAATTTAAGATAAACGTTAAGTGTATTTCTTTTTGTTATTCGATCAATAGATCAATCCAATACTTTATTCTATCATGTCAACAAAATTTCGTCAAAGTTTTGGTCGTCTTTGTGGGGGATGTAATGCATCATCAAAAAGTCAACATGCATCAGCTGTACTATTCTGTAAAGGATATACAATGCGACCAATGCTAATGAGTATAAATAGAGATGGTCTTGGTGGTACAATGTCAACAACAACTAGATTACCATATCGTCCAACAAATATTAGTCAGTTACACGAAAAAAAACGGCTACTAACTGACAATACTCCAACACCAATAACCACAGTTACGATCAATCATGAAAACTTTATTTTTCCATAGTGAATATAAAAAAAACTTGACAAAAACAGTGAATTTAATTTTATATTTATGAGTTTCATTAGAATACTCTTGTCAAATATATGTTAATACAAATATATTTTAACATGTAAATTGAAATAAATATTATATAAATGGAGTCATTTAATGAATTAATAGAAAGGATGAAGATCATCAATCATATATAAAGTATTTGAATTTTACTGACTATCACGATCTAATGAAGAGAAAGTAATTTCATTGATAACAAATTTCTTGTAGAAATTAGTAGTTTTTTTTTTGACATGCTTTTAAAATATTTCTATAGTTAATAACTTCCACAAAAGTAGAATATGGAACAACACTTTTTTGTGTGAATTTGCTTGTTTTTTTCTATAAAACAGGCTTGTCAGAATGAAAATCAATAAAAGTTGTCAGTCGAAGCGATTTTAATGAGATAGTTTCATAATTAATTGACTTAATAAGTCGCAATAAAATCGCTGATTTTAACTACGTAAGTTATTATCATCATTATTGACCTTTTTACTTGAATATGAAATAAATGAACTTCTATTTTCGATAGATTTATCGATTTTTTCCAGTTTTTTTTCTAATACGTATAGACTTAATTACATTTTGATGGTTTCTTTTTTTTTCGAATGTATAGTCATCAAAGCTAAACTCCTTATGATGATTAATGCAATGAGTATATTTGAATCAACAGCAAAATAAAATGAGTAGATAAGAAGAAGACAACTACCTTATGAGAATCCTGTGTTTATTATCATTAATAGTTTTGATGCTCTTTCTACCAACAGCAACATATGTTTGTCGAATTGCTACAATTTCAAGAAGAAAATAGCATACTATATATGTATGCATGATCATAGGCCTTCCGAATAATCGACATTGATATCAAAGTTTGGAAAATTGGCAACCGTATTACTTTTGATTTTCTAATAGATCAACCGAACCCAAGTAAATGAAAGATATTTTGGATGGAATTCTAATTGTTCTAGCAATAATAGATGCAAAACGAAAAGTTAAACTTTAATCTAAATCTGATAATAATGATGTATCATTGAAATTCTTTTGCTGTTCTTTAAAATATTATCCAAAGGCATAGTTTTAAGAATTTATACTATCATAGCATAATCTTTGTAAGGCTATAACAATTATAGTCATCTTCTTTAGTTGTTATTATTGTATAAATATGCAATAATAATGTTATACTACTAAAAATTTTCGTGCATTATACAAATAGTGAATGCAACATAAACGATAATAAGGGGTATCACCTAAGGATATGCATTGCATGTTAATCATACTAGCTGTTAAATTCTGTAACTAGGAATCTTATAAACATATTCTTTATAAAATACCGTTAATTTTATGGGCTCATTTTGATATTTATTATTTATATTTATAAATTACATCGTAATCAATGTTGATTTAAAATTATCTTGGTAACAAATCGAATTAACTCAAAACTTATTGAATTTCACTGTGGCAAGCATAATTTCACTTTCAACTTAAACTTGCGAAAATTTAATTCTAAAATAGGTTAAGATTGAAACCGGTACCCTATCGATATGCATTGATATCTGGTTATATCTTGCCTAATTAAATGTTCTTTCTTAGTATTTTCCACTTTATATTGTTGTTCAAACCTACAGCATTATTCCAAGAAAAACTATAACACAACAAATATGCAAAAAAAAATGTCTTTAGTTATCCTTAGGTGCGATCGTACCATTTCGCACTCGTCAAATGAGAAGGGTTTGGAGCGGTCACAACGCTAGTTGACAAGATTTTAGAGCGATGATCGCTACTACCATTCTTCATGCCGATTTCGCTTCGTTTTTTAGACGCATTGTACATTTCTGACATCTCTTAAACTCAATTATTTTCTCTATAGAATGAGTGAAACATTTCTTTTTCAGAAGATAAAGAATGAGTTAATCCCGTCTAGCACGATTTAGATTCTACATGAATTCGTCTCATCTTAATTGATTGTGAAATCATTTCTTCTATTGTCGTACAGAAATGAGTGCTGAATAAGATTCACTAAGAGATGAATGTGAATAAAATGAATCTATATGGGATAAAAGTGATTTTTGTTATGGAGAACGAAGATTCGTGTAAAGATGACTGCAATAAAAAGCCCACTCGCTTTGCAATTCTATGATATACTTCAATCATCCAAATTAGACATCTCATCTTAATTTTTCATTCTTCTGTTAATGGCAGATAAAAACGATAAAGTAAACAAATGTAACAACGATACACAAATTCGATGCAGATATATTAAAAAAGAAATATATACAGTAGAAAAATATTTTTTCGATTTATTTCAAATTAGAAACGAATTTTTGATGTTTCTAATTGAAAAAATATTTAAAGGAGCATCAACAGTTATTTTTTTACGTAATGTTAAAATCAACTATTCATTTAATATCAAATCAACATAAACATAAACTAAAAAAATATAATAAATTTTAAATAATAGCATAGACATACATATAATCATATCCATAAACCTATAACTATAACTACTTAATTTTAATCATATAACTTTATAGAAAATGAATATGATGATTTCAAATGATGAAAAATTTTCAGAAATATGAACTCAAAAATCAAAAATTCATTTCTAATATAAAAAAAATCGAAAACATATTTTTCTATTGCATACATTTATATTTTAATATATCTACATAAAAATAATAAGTTTTTTTCATAAAACACTTTTAACAAAATGAAATACTATTTAAATATATATATATTTTACAGAATGCACAGTAGGCAACAACTTAGATATTTGGTGACAATCTTTTTAAATTCTAACTTTTTGAGGTATTGGAAAAATCTGAGTCCGAAAAAATAGCCAGATTTCTATCATCTTAGACAGGCATCTTTTTTCAAAGAATGTAAAAAGATCAAAAATGACAAATACTGCGACTTCTGAAAATAAAGCTCTTGTTCTATTGTTCTATAACAAAAACTTTGTCTTAAAACTTTTCCTGTCGGAAAAAGCATGTATTCTCTTTCAACCAAGGGCTTTCCAAAAAGACGTGGTCAGTGTAGTTGGTGCTCACATTCAAGCACACCTCTCAACTTTATAAAATTTTCATACAAGATTTTTCTCTATCTGGCATGTCTATTCAGTTAATAAAAAGATGCATAAATGCTTCTAGACTGAGTTGTAGAGACTTTCTAGATTTTTAGTTTTTTTTTTTTTTTTTTTTGGTTTGGACATACTTCCAAACACCAGTAATCACACACTCGGAGTCAACATAAATAAAAATGCATAGAATGATGTGTCTTTTAATGGCTGTTAAACAAAATCACTGTTTAACAAAGTCCAGCCATATACGATAGTCTTCTCCATAGTATACTTGTAGATAATTAATTATTTCGAATTTTTATTTTCTTAGTTTTTCTTGTTTCAGTTTAAGTTTCTGTTTTATTTAGGTATTCAATAAAAAATAGTTTGTAGAGAACTGGATTTCCAGAAAGCTTTCTGAAAGGTACTGAGAAGCTTTTCAAAAGTCTACTTTGGTCTCTGAAAACCCAGAGTCTTCTAGAAAACTCATTCTCAAGTATATCTGAGTTCTAGATATCACTCCAAAAGAAAGAACGCATGCAAAAACCTATAAAAAGTGCATTTTATTGTGTTGATGTGTTTTAAAATAAAATGTTCGCGTTCCTATCAAAGATCGTCCACTGTGAAATATTCTAAGCCTATGATTATTAGTGGCATCTACTGACTAATTAAGCACATATTTAGGAAATTATGTATAAAATCTCTTGTTTTTTTGTTAATGATCTAAAAACAAATCTAAATATTAGATCAATTACTTCTGTAGCATGATTACTATGTTTACTTATTCATTGTTGTCATAGTACTTAATACAATTATGACTGAAGGCAATGAAAATTGAGTTATCTAAAATAGCTATTTATTACCTTTCTTGATTTACTGATTAAAGATCAATAAAAAAAATTATATTTGCTAAAAGAAAAGTATCTTATCAAAAGAAATCAATCTTTCTATTCTCTTTAGAAAGCTTTGTTATTTCTTTTTAACAATTACATATGACAATTGACGAAACCATTCAGTGACATAATTAATATTCTTATGGCATCATTAAAATTGCCTAATTTTCCGCAACAACTTCAATATCGTCTTCATACCAAAACAATTAGCCGAGAAAATATTAATGACATACAGGTGATTACATTACCTTTTCAAATAGAAATGATTAAAATAACAAGAAGAAATATTGACAGAGAAAACAATAAAAATTTAATCTTTTCTCTTTTTCTTTTGTGTGCAGAATAAAGAAAGAAAAAAAAAGCAGAGGGATCTTTGTATTGTTCTTATTTACATAAGAGAATCGTAAGAACTAATCGTTTGCTTTTACATCTTAATTATATACAATTAATTACAATTAATCATCAAGAGACTTCTATTGACGTATATGCAACATATATATGAAAATAATTTTTAATCGAAGAATACGATAGAAAAAAGAACCTCTTACTCCGTAATAACATTGCAGAAAAGCACCTGTACGTCGTGAAAAAAGAAGTCAACGAGCATACCTATTACGGGAAACATGAATGAGCATATGGTTTTCATCATGATCGATAAAATAAAAGTTTCTTCAATATGTCAAATAGCTCTTTACTTTTCCAAGTCATAATAAATGAATCTTGTTCAATTTATTACTTTTAAAAAATTTTTCTTTCTCGTTCAATGTCTGATAAGTAAAACTATAAATATTCATTTTGTTGTTTGCATTTACTTTGATTTTGGTTTAAAATCAAATAAAAGTCGTTCTCTTATTTCAAATATATATTTATCTATGTATATGCATTACTTTTTTATTCTTTTATTTGACTTCAACGAGTAAGAACTCTTTAGTTCCTCAGTACACATACATCGTCTCACCTAACAACGTATATATATATAGATGCATAAAAGATTCTTCATCTTCTTTTATGTGAAGCGATAAGAC